AATTGCAAATCTCCTATTATGCAGAGAACAGTTCAGCTCTGCACAGTAGCTGCATGGCGCCTTCCCACATCTCCTTTCATTTCCAAAAGGAAATGAGTGTTGATTAAAGAATCCAGAGCTATTGCAAATTATTTGGAGAAACTGAGTAAGTTGCAGTGCAAATCCTCTTAGTAATGCTCCTCATTTCTCCTTAATTCCTTTCTATAAATGGATAGCTGGGATTGAGCATACCTCCGGAAAACTGCTCTCAACCAAGCCCTGCAGACACAGGGGCTCCAGGGGAAGCAAATGAGAAGATCTGACCAGCACAGAGCTGCCTGGAAAAAATTGTGAAATTAATTAAAATGCAAATCCCAGCTCAGCAAAGCTCCACTGTGGTCGCTGGGCAGCAGGGCCGGGGGGGAGCAGTACATGGCAATCCCCCTGGGAAGTGAGGGAGCCTTCCAGAGGTGTAAATCACAGCTGCTCAAAGGGCACACGTCTCTTTTTAAACATCACTCAACTGCAGCAGCCAAAAGCAAAACACAGGCTCTCCAAGCTCAGGAAAGGCTTTCCGCTGCGACGTCCCAAAGCAAAGTGGGCTGGATAACGCCTGCAGTGATTCATGACCGGCTCAGGACTGGGAGCTCCTGAGAGCTGCAGTAAAGCACAGGCATGCCTAAGGAGGCAGCCACCATGCAGCTCAGCCTCATGGCCTTATACAGTAGCACCCAGGCAGGGAACAGCCCTGGTTTTGTACACAACCGCAGCGGAAGGGAAGTGAAGAAACAAGAGGCTGTGGAGGCAGCATGGCAGGCCAGGTGGCATGCCTCATACACACACATGTGTATACATTTCTTTGTACAAAATAAGAGAATGCCCAGCAAAAACTGAGTGGCTCGCAGCCTTCCATCATAGTCCTAAATTCTCTCTTTGAACTGGGAGTGAAAGGAGACATAAAAAATATTTTCCAACCTTTAATCTGGGCAATTTGGCTGCATCAGGGGCTTCCATTCCTGGATCCATGAACTTAGAAACAAAGAGCTCTTCTGCCTCCCACTGAGGAGCTGAAGCCACTCCAGGCATCACACACCCCGAGCTGCTCCAATCAACCACAGACTAATACCCAGAAAGGCACAAGTCTCATCATTTGCCTTCACTTGGGCTGTAAGAAACAACCACACTTTTCCCAAAGCAATGCTTGCCTCTGGCTTTAGACACCCTGAAACCTCACCACATCCACGAGGGTTTGCACACTGCATCCAGGGCTGGAGATTTACTTAATGTTCACTCGGGAAAAGAAAACCTCAGCTCCCAAAGTAACCTGCTCTCTGAAAGGCCATGCATGGTCTGGCACGAGCCAATGGCTTGGGGCAGCGCAGGGCACTTTGCTACAGGGAGCGAGCACTGCATGTGAGGTTCTTGGTACAGACATGGCCAGACCAGAGGTGACGCTGCACCATGTAACATCACTGCCTTTGGTTCTGCTCTCCTGAGGCTGGGAAGACAATGACTTCAGACCTATATGATGCTTGGCCTCCCAACCATTAATGCTCACCTGCACAAGTCAAAGCATGACATGAGTGTTATAGAACAGCACATCCAGCATGTGTGGTGTTTTGAGGAGAAAAACCTACTGCTCTGGGACAGGAAGGGGTGGTGCAATGTTTAGAGGTCTCCATCTTATTCTGCACACCACAAGGCAACACAAGAGGGCTGAGCAGCTGTCGGACTCCTCAGCAAGATCTGTGGCCTCTGCCTCATGAGCCACAGCACTGTTATCACAATAGAAAACATAAAATAATTCAAGGGATGCACATTTTGAGTGCATCTGAACATAAGAACAGAGGAGACCATCCCACTAGCTCCCAGCTACTCCTGAGGGCAGCAGAGTGGCATCAAACTGGTGGAAAGCATCTGCAAGTCGTGCTTCTATGAACTGTATGTGCAAGAAATTGCTCCTAGAAGGTGGCTTTGTGGATCTTCCAACTCAAATAGTAGGCTCAACAGTATCATGAGAGGCAGGGTGGGAAGAGACAGAGAAATTTGATCGCTCCTACTGCCTTTGAGCCAAAGAGAAAGAATGAAGAAAAGCACTCAATTGACTTGTCAGAGACTTGAGTGAGAAGTCTGATGTGGATAGTGGAGATCTGGCTGATGCCAGGAAGGGAGAGCCGAGCTGTTAGCATAGGTCTGCAGGCTTTGGTTATACTGACCCTGGAAACAAGAGCTTGCTGCGTTAAACACCACCTCACACAGCACTTCATACCATCCTGGTATCAAAACCCAAACAGTTGGGACAATTGATTTCTCAAATACCATAAACAGCTTATGCAGATTAATTACTTGGACACACTCCAAGCTCTGGATTTTATTCCTTTTTTTTTTTCTTTATCCAACATAAGGAATATGGACTCTTTCAACACACAGAAAAGCTTTGGGAAAAAAAGGACAGAAGGAAAATCAATTTTGGGGAGAACGGCTGGCAAAAACTAAGGCTATGGAATAGGCCAAACCTCACTAATGACCATCCAAGGAGTTTACGCAGTGAAGCCTGGGATCCATTTGAAACCTCCAGGTGAAACAAGTAGTCAAATGAAAAGTCAGCTGAGGCTGCAGCAGAACCTGGGGAGTGCTCCAGCTGCCTCAGGAGCCAGCATGGATCCTGCTCAGCCTCACTCCTTCCTGCAGCCCCTCTGGGAAAAGAGCTGTCAGCACCAGGAGGCAGGCCATGAGGTTGGCCAGAAACCACCTCCTTCCACCAGATGCAGCAGCTGAGAACAGAGCCAGTTCACTGGTTGGGTAAGAGAGCTCCCCATCAGACATCATCCCCCTGGGGCACATCAGACCTGCAGTGACCAGAGGCCCCAGTGCAAGCAGACACTGGAATGACCTGCCAGATCCAGAAGCAGTGAGAGAACCACATGGCAGTGAGCCCTTACACACGTTGACATGGGCACCATGAGCACCTGAGACCTGCTCCCACTGGGCAGCATGGATTCCACCTGCAGAGCTTCCCTAGCTCCTCTGTAGCCGCTCCTCCTGACAACCACTCATTACTCTTCTTACTTAATTATTGATAAGGGCATGATATCATCATCAGCCAATTGCACTTGTGCCCCACATTGCCCAGCCTGCTCTGTCATGGCCAGAAGCCCTTTCCGCACTGTCCCATTAGCCAGGCTTTTAATTTTAAGTGGGGATTTTATGCAAAGATAATCTCTTCCACCAGTGGTGCTTTGCATCAGTGGACGGAGGATCACTATGTTTTCTGGGGTCAGTGTTCCAGGAAGATCCTCCACAGTCTTCAAATACTCCTGATACTTTCCCAGTGGCCCCAACTGGAGTCTTCTGCTTGCTGACAAATACCAATATTCAGGCACTTTTATAATGGGGGAGGAATCACGGGAGAGAGACAGGATGCCTGAGGATGCAGGGAGAAGAACCAGAATGCCACATGCTCATCTCCAGATGAGCGTTGTAGTGATCAGCAGCCATCCCAGGACCAAACTTGCTTGGGAAATGTTAAATCTTATGGAGATGTCTTCAGGACGAAACTAGTCCCTTCAACAGCAAGACAGCCTGCAAAGCACATCTCAGAGTACGGCAATCTCTGCTATCTCCCATGTGACAGGCACCCTGAAGTGCTCCGGGGTGAGGTGACAGCCCCATGCACTATGCCATGGACTGTTTAAGCACCAGACGCAGAGCAGTGGGTCACCCTGCCTGGCAGGAATGCCCGCGGTGCGGTATCACCAGCAGAATGGTCCCTGGCTGGGTGAACCCCAGGCTGCAAAGGCAGCGACAGGCACTCTTGTGGAAATCCTTCCTTGCAGCTCCTCCTGCAAAGCAGCAGCTCCTCTGAACAGAATGAAGAGTCCCTTGCCACTGTGGGCAGACGTGAGAAAATTAAGGGAGCATTCCTCTTCCCTACGTCAGTTTGTTAAACGAACAGCCACCACCCAGACAGATGGCTGCAAGCTGGTTACTCCAGAAACGTCCAGGTGTTCCTTGGGGACACCTGGATCCTGTGCAGGAGCCAAGAACAGCCTGGACCCTGCTGGCTCCCTGCTGCTACACCCCTGTCACCTCATCCTGTCCCCAGCCCTGCTCTGCCAGAGCACCTGTGCCCCCATCCTCGCTGCTCCCAACCTGGGGATAGTGAAAAGCAAAATCTCCCTCTCAAGGTGACCAGCACAGGGGATGGCCATGCCTCCATGCCAGGATGGCTCCTCATGCCCTGCTTCCCCCAGCCTATCTCCATCCCTTGTGACCAAGCAGGGGCTGGCCTTATGCATCCCGGCTAGCCATGCGTGGCAGCTTGAGCAGGCAGGGCACGGCCTGTACCCTGCTAACCCAAATGCGGGGTGCAAGGCAACGTGCGGGTAGGAGTGCACCCCAACACAGGGGAGCTGCCTTGCAGCGGGGATCAGCTTAACCCCAACGATGTCTCCCGCTGGGGATGAATCCCAGACAGCTGGAGTACGGTTGTCGTTGCAACACGTCCAGTAACACCGGGCTGTTTCTTCCTGCTTTCACAGCAGAAAACACCAAAATTCGGGTTGGGGGGGGGGGTTCGCAAACAGATGAAACTTGCCAAGCTCCCGCCTCGGGAGGGAGCAAGCCCTCAATCCCAGCTCCAGCAGCTCCCCCCGGAGCCCTGACCCTCTCCCCCGGGACCGCTGGTCCCCCCCTCCGCAGCCCTCGGAGCGCCGCACCGCTGCTGGGGGCCCCGGAGGAGGAGGAGGATGCACTCACCATTTTGCCCGCCTCCATGGCCGCTCCAGCCGGGCTGAGGCCGGCTCGCCGGAGCCCGATCGGCGGGGACGGGCCCCGCTCCCCGCTCCCCGCTCCCCGCTCCCGGCCGCAGCGGCTCCGCGGCTCCCACGGCGGCGGCGCGGGGCGGGAGCGGGGCGGGGGCGCGGGAGGCTCCGCGGAGGAGCTGTGGGGGGGGGGGGGTTGGAAGCGCGCACCCGCACGCGGCGCGCTCCCGCGAGCCACGGCGCAGCCCCGCGGGGTGGGGGCGGGGGATGGGAGGGCCGGCGGGGGCGCGCTCGCCCCCGCGCTGGACAACAAAGGCGGCCCCGGGCTGGTGGCGGGGGGGGGGAATTCGTGGGTGCCCGGCAGCACCCTGGAGCTGCGGGCTTTGGGGCAGCCAGGAGCGCCTGGGGAGGGCACCGCCCCATCCCTGTGCCCCATCTCCGTGCCCCCCGGGCGCTGCTGGGGATTCTACACCCGGTGGTCCTGCAGGTGACCTGTCCGTGCTCTCTCTGAGACAAGAGCTCATGGGCCGTGATCTCTCCTGCAACAAAAAAGCATTCAGGCTGGTACAGCGCGCCTGCTCCCCGTCCTCGGGGAGGCAGTGTGCCGGCTGGCATCACCTGGCCGTGGACCAGAGAATCCCCCTTCGCTGTGGGACAGGAGGGAACACAACAGCAGGTCAGTATCTTTGCTGTTCCCAGCTGCTACCAGTGTTTGAGAAGCTCTTTAGCATCTTCAGATGGGGGGGTATAAAAGAAACCCAAACAATTCTATAATCATTCTTTAAATTCCCTAAAAGCAAATCCAAAGCAGGTAGGAGGAAAAGCATCATGGCACTGAAACACAGCTAACCCTCTGCAGAAGGCAGAGAAGAAGCTTCATGGCCTCAAGCAAAAAAAATGTTCTGTGATGCTAGCCCTAGACTAACTCAATAAGCCTCCCAGATTACTTTAGTCTAGTCATGGCACAGCCCCTTGTTAATGGATGGTGACTTGGCTGCTCTTAACAAGATCACAGAATCCCACATCCCATGCACTCTGCAGGGACCTGTGGGGACTGAGAGCCACCCCTTGGGCCCAGGAGCACCCAGATCACGCTGACCCAAGTCACCAAGCAAGTCCCAGCCATGGGGGATGCTTTTGGAGCCAAGACCAGGTAGTGTTTTCCCTCTGGTGGCTCTCAAAGTCTCCACTGAGATTCCCATGTGGGACAGACACACAGACACACTGCTTTACTGCAGCTATGAACCTCCTCCTTTTGCTGGACTGACTGATTCCAACCTATAGCCAAATTTTACACCTTATCCATTTGCAGCTTTCACCTTGTAGAACCCTGGCAATGTGACGAAAAGGCCAAAAGAGCAATTTCCCACTTTAAATGAACTGTGACGCCCGGTTCCTATGGGAGCAGGTGGTCTGGTCCCTGCTCCTCGTCCCAGCCCGTCAGTATGCACATAGCAGCGCGCTGGGTGTGGGCACCAGTCCCCATCGTGGGCACTTGTCCCCATCACGCCAGGCATGACGGGGCTCCGAGCACATCTGCACAGTAGGCCTGTGGCAGGAAGGGTGCATCAGGTCCCCGTGGTGCTGGCGGTGGAAGACGCAGTACCTACTGCAGCAAGGGAGGCAAAACCAGAATTGAGTGCTGTGACTTGAGAAAGGGAGCTGGGTTTGCTCCCTCCTTGCTGCAAAGCCCTTTGGTCAGCGACGTCCAGCTGGTTATGGGATATGGGAAAAAGCTCATTATCTGCCCCAAGGAAATCTTGGTAACTTGAGTACAGACATTACAACTGAAAACCGACTGGCATCTTTCCCTAATGCTGTGACACATCTGGCTGCTTTGCTGCACTTCATGCACAGTCCTATTTTAGAGCAAGCCCTCCCTACCTGGAGGTATGTGTCATCAGCGATCTGCTGGGAACCAGTCCAGGCCCATGCGGAGGAAGACCTAAAGATATCCACCAGCCTGCAAGGTGATCCCAGCCATTGGGGACAACCTCAGACCATGCTCGCACCGCAGCCTGCTCTGCAAAATAGGAATGGACACCCACTGGATGCAAGAAACCTGCTCTACCCACTGCAGCCCCCCTCCTGGAAATGCCTCCAGCACAGAAGATGTGAGCATTGGTCTTCACCACACAGCCCTGCTCTGTGGCATCCCCAGCCTGATCTTCCCCTGGTCAGTGGGATCCAGGAATTAATTAATCCAGTATCAGCTGGATTTACCATTGCTCTGAACTGGACGGCACCAGCACTGCATGGCTTGCTGTCCTAGGTCCATCACACAGCCCCCTGTGGATGCAGAGCACCATGAGGCTCCATCCCTGCAATTAGCACTTGCATGGGGTTTTAATATCTCATTTGAACAAATGGAGATCTTAGGGCGTGTGTGCAAGAGCAAACCCAAAGGTAAAGTGGAAAACAAAGAGAATCACTCACATCCTTGGGAGTAAAACTCAGTCCTGACCCCCACCACAACATGCGTAGGACAGATGTGAATTTTCCCCCTATGTCACCTGCATCAGAAATGTACAGCTTTTAAAATAGTTTGTAGGATTCCCTCTTTAGCAGATACATTGGTGACACCATGCAATGCCCATGAGCTTCCCATGCTGCATACTTGCTGTTTTACCTCCCATGGCTGGCTTTCGGCTCCAAGACCCCCTTCATCCCACCATGCCCTCCTGCAAGACAGCATTTTGTAGCAAACCCAGTCAGCTCATCATCCTTAACCTTGGCTTTCAGAATTTTAATCTAGAGCCAGCACAGAGAGAAGGAGGCAGGGAACCAGCATCACAATGTGGGATCAGGCCCTGGGTGAGCATCTGCCTTGGATGCTGCACGGTTATTGCCATTAGAGGAGTTCTTGTACAGAGGCCTGAAGAGCTGCTAGAGCTGACAGAGACAGGTCCGTGTCTCACTCATGTCCCAATTGTGGGACAGCGCAGAGCGAGGACTGCGTAGCCATCGGGGGACAGGGAGTGCTCCAGGCCTGGAGCTTCCCAGCAAGGAGGGCTCTGACAAAGCTCCTTGGCTAAAGGGCAAACATCAGAGCCAAGGCAGCTATAGAAAAAAACTCTGAAAAATAATTTAGAGGCAACTTCAGAAGAGTCTCCAGAACAAAGGGAAAATAAAGTTCCCCACTGTCCAAGGAAGCTGCACTCCCAAAGCATGAAGCAGGGAGGGAGATGGCCACACGTGCTGAGCCCTGGCATGATCCATGAGGACAAATCGCCCTGCCATAGGGTGATTTGCACCCCTGGGATGACCCCTTGCCCTGCCACAGGGGTGACACTTCAGAGAAGTGGCCCAGGGTGCAAGTTTCTTCCTTTCTGGGCTCATCTGAGCCCACACAAGTTCCCTGCTGTGGATCCCCTGCCAAGCAGGAGCCCCAAGGGTGAGCTGCTCCTGCCCTACATGGTGCTCGCTGCGACTGGGACAGCTGTTCCCAGTGGCTCACATAAGGATGTCAAAACACTGAATCTGCTACTTCTTGTAGCTGCAAGAGCAGCAGCTCCGCTTTCAGCATGGTTTCCCTGAAGTGCTATACATACAAAGCAGTTTTATACTCAACTTGCCTGAGGGACAACCCAAATCCACCTAGGACTATGCAATGTTAAGTGAGCTTGCTCCAAATCTCTGTCGGTTTGCACACACACATGCAGAGCTATGGATGGTGTCAGGGGTGCAGTTTTATCAGCCAGGGGGAGCACACAACCTTGAAGCCTCTCCCACTCTGCCAGTAGCACTGGGCACAGCTGAATCAATGTCTGCTCCAGCCCTGGAGAGCAGGGATCACGCTTTTAGCAACCTCTGTGCTTTGATCTGCAGGTGTATGTGCAGACTGGTCAGCACCCAGCACCTTTCCACTCCAGAACTGCCTTACTTCCCAGCAATTTGGGAAGGGCTGCAGGAAGACTGGCCCTAGACAGCCTCCCCAGCAGCCTTTTTTGGGCCGATGCACTCTGGTCATTAGCAAATGAACATGGCTCTAGAGGGGTACTGGAGACAGGTGCCTGGAGGTCACACGTTGAGGGACAAAAGCCAGGAGGGCATCACAAGCAATAATGCCTGCAGCACTGCCTTATGCACAGCCTTGACCCTGCCTCCCCCAGCTCTGGGAGCTGTGGGTATGGTGCGACATTCCCCCACAGCAGCAGGGAAGGCAAGGCTGTGCTGCTTGGGGGAGCAACCCCTGCTCTGTCCCTGTGTCCTGGTGCCCCCTCTGGGCACAGAGCCCCCTCCTCCCCAGCTGTGTTCAGCCTCCACTGTGCTGAACTTAGAGACCCTCGGCTAGGCCTAGGAATCAGCCCCAGCCTCCAGTGGCTCCTTCAGGGCTCTGCAAAATGCTTGGCTGAGAGGTGCAGCACAGCTGGGAGCGCTGTGGGCAAGGAGGGAGGAGAGGCGTCCATCCTCTGCCCTGAGCTGGAGGGAGGCTTTGGGAACATCTTTAAAATTTATTTCAGCAGCTGACTCCCACAGAGATGAAGGGAGTTAGGCATAAAATATCTTGGCAAATGCAGCTTTTTGTCATTACAGACAGTTTAACAAAGGTTAGTCAAGTAATGATCTACAAGTCATTTTATTTTATTGGTTTTACATTTCTTACTTCTATTTGAGCAAATCTCTGTCTGAGCTCACGCTCTGAGGTGAGATGAAGTGGAAGCCAGGTCCTCTCTGTGGCATGAACCATTCATGTCTCCAGAAGTTCTTGTCTCTCCCTTCCCCCCCCGCCCCATTGTTCATTTTACCAGGTCTAAAAATAATCTGAAGCCTTTTAAACCATCTTCCATTGCAGCCTCCTCCCTCCTCGATGACTAATAATATCAGTTGCTCCCTCTTGATCTTTCTCTATTTCCCAAATCTGCCCAGAGAGAAGAGAACCAAGCCAGAGCTGAGCACCCACAGCTTGGAATCACAGTGCATTCATGGCAGGATTTTCCACAACATTCTTCCCCACAGTGAATTTGCAGGTGTCCCCTTTGTCATCCCAGGGGTGCAAGGCTGACCTATGCTGCTGGGGGCTCATCTGCTTCTGCTTGGGAAGCACTGGAGCTGTACTTGCACGGTGGCTGCTCCTGTGTGCCAGGGCAGCACATTTCATCACTGTGCTGGGAGTTGTCTCCTCAATTATTTCTCCTCGGGGGATGCAATCTTTCCCAGCTGCATCAGCCTGCTGGAGCAGTTCAAACCAACCACCCCACAGCAGCTCTTGCAGCTCCCAACAAACCAGCCCTGCCCACTTAGGGGGACACCGGGACCCTGCAGGAGCACCAGCAGCATGGGGTCTCCAGGAGCTGGGAAGGGCTTTCCCAAGCTTTCTGCATAAGGCAGAGCAGCAGGTTCAGCAGAGAGACACCCAGCACATATGAAACGATTTGCTTTCTCTTTCACAGGCTTTGGCTGGTCTCAGCACATCTCCTGATCTTGCACAGCTCTGCACCACAGCCCGTATTGAAGGGACGTGCTGGTTGAGGATCTGCTGCGCTGGGTTTCATTTCTGACCCGTGGAACTGGGTGAGCACCTCTGGCTGTGCCAGGAGCATTGGCTGTGTTGTGTTTTTTCAGAGAAGGATGTGAATGCCAGCCACTGGGTGTATTTGTAATACTTCCACTTGGAGGAAAACCCACCTCACTATGGCTGTTTGTGGCTTTATTTATTTATTTTTTTCTCCCTGAACTGTGAGATCAGATCTTTGTAATGCAACCTCACATGCTTGTATCAGGCGCAAATCCTCCCACCCTTTCCCGGGTACCAGTGACACTTGTCCTGTAGCCGGCAGCTACCTACATGCATGGCCTCGACCTCTCAACAGTCTCCTGGGTGAGCACTGACTCTCCTGCACAGGACCCCTACGGGTAGGGGCAGGCTTGGCAATCCACAGGATCTGCTGCAGCTTGCAGGCATGTATGCTCTGACCTCACACCTCTGACTTCCAGATAGGACCCTGCAATGAGCAACCTGCAAAAAACCCTACACCCATTAACACCCAATTACACGTTATGTAAAAATATGTAAAAACCCTGAAAGGGTTACAATCTGAGGTGAATCAGCTGCTTTTTTTGGTACCAAATCTGCACTTTAGGTTGGATTTCAAAGTTGTTTGGGTACTCCAATGCTCCTGAAAATCTCCCTGGACAATTACTGCCCAAATACCTTTGCAAATCTTGATTTAGGAAAATATCCTATTCAGTGCAGTACTTAAAAGCTCAATGCAATTTAAAAATCTTTCTAATGCTGCAGTTTCCTGTGCATGTGAAAGTGAGGAGGAAAAGCTGATCAGCTGCAGGTTGGCACGGGTCCAGGGCTCGCAGTGCATGGGTGCTCATGGGGCAGGGAGCAGGCAGCTGTGGGAGCAGGCAGCCCAGGCTCCAGCAAAAAGCCAGCCCAGCACTGGGCTGTGATAGAGGCCCCAGAGGCACCAAGCCTCCCTGGACAGAAGAGGCACCAAATGCCCCCAGCGTACAGAAACGCTGTGCTGCCAGCCCTGCACCTGGTGCAGGAAGGGGGCCCGACCTCATTACTCTTGCCTTGTCGGAGGCAGCTTTGTTGTGCTGTCTATATACAGATTTTCTTCAAAAATTAAATACAGCCACAGTTTGTGCTACTGTTATCGACTGTTTGTTATTTTTAGCTGTCTGTTCAATCTATACCGGCTCATGTTACAGCCACCACAAAAGCTTCGAGTAACATTGGTCAGACAGCGCCTGCAGATGTGGCCAGCCCAAGACAATGGGATTAAAAATGCACAAGGGAAAGTGGCAGAATAAGCTGCACCTGCCCCATATGCTCCCCCCACTGCCAGTGCTGCAAGGTGATGGCAGATCCTGGCTGCAGGACTGGAGCAGAAGAAAGTCCCATTCCTCAGGTGGGGTGAAGGGTTATGGAGCCTTGCAAAGGGCAGACAGGGCAGGCACCAGCTCAAGTGCTTGATCCAAAAGGACAGCTTGTAGTAGCAGCAATAACAGGGTTGTAACTGAATTGTGGAAGAGGGATTTAAAACTTCACACTTAACCTCAGCAAATATGTACATGACCACTTGCTTCTCACTTGCAGATGTCTTCTATGTCCCCTGAGTCCCCATTTGTATGTATAGGTTATCTGGAAACCCCTCTTGACTCCAGCAGAGGCTGTCTTCCTTCACACACGTACAGCCTGGTCTGTACAATGCACCGCTTGAGTTGCTTCCTTTTTTTAAGCACAACGCCGACACTACCAAGATAAGCACAATGCCCAGAAAAGGAAGCAGGGTTAGCAAAGATCATAAATGTGCTAACAAAACATCAGCGCTGTGCTCACTGCTCTCATGCTGCTGCCCCCATCAGGCAGCTCACAACGTGGGCAGCACAGCCGGGTGCTCCACCACTGTGTGCTTCTCCATCATCTGCTCCCCTGTGTGCCCCTGGGGTCTGCTCAGATAAATGCTCCCAAGCAGAAATCAAAGGCCCCTACTTTGTTCTCACTTCTTCACTTTGAAACCCCTCCATAATTGGATCATTGCCATAAATTATTCAGGAAACAAGTTGATAAATCCCATCAATTTCCTTTCAAAGCCCTTAAGTTCTGCCTCAGAGGCACTGGCTTCATTTACAGGAGCCATGGGCAGCAAGGCTGCTGCCTGGGGAGCATCCAAGGCTGCAGAGGAAGCAGTGCCAAAATACCTCCATTTTGTGCTTGGGGAGCAGTGCCAGCATCTCTCACATCCCCAGAGGGGAGAGCCATCACCCTGGACAGGCTGTTCATCCCTTTCCAAGCAGTGTCTGTTAGACACCTGTCCCACAGCCAACACTGGGCAACGTCAAACCTGGAGATCCATTTCCCTGCTTTGCTTGTCCTCACTATGTATCTGGAAATATTCACAGGGCCAGACATTGCATCCTGGCTGAGTTGCTGCCAGCACTGTCCAGCATCTCCTGAATTCCTCAGTGGTTTGTGGGAGGTGACACGTCCCAGCTGCAAGGCTGCTGCTCGGAGCTCCAGGATGGGGCTGCACTCGGTGCCGTCCTCCCTTTTGCAGAGCAGTGAGCCTCCTCCCTTTTACGCCTCTCAAATCTCTGCCTTGGGTGATCCCTGAGGTGGCCCATGGGAGGAATCATTTGGTTATCTCCTTTTGCTTCTCCCTTGGACGGAGATCTGGCTGTGGTGTCTTGTGCAAGGGGCTTCAGCCGAAGGCCCAACCTGGACCCCATCACCCTCGCCTTACAGTGCAAGAATTTCCTGTCTTCTCCAGAGCTTTATTTCCACACAAAACCAAAAGCCTGGTGAAAAGGTGGCTGAGTGGAGGCTCACAGATTTGTGACATGACAGGTGCCCACAGCTCTCACAGCTCCTGCAGTCCCCAAATGCTGACAGCTTGGCACACCTGTGTAACAAATGGGGAACGAGCTCTGATACAAAACCTCCTGGTACATGGGGTTGGGAGAAGCTGCAGCAATTGTGCCCACAGCTGCTGGGCCCCTGGGGCTGGATGGTGCCAGGCCACACCAGCAGCCGAGCCAGCTTCTGATGGACAGGCAGTGGTAGAAGTGCTGGTAGGACACAGACAGCGTGTTCTGTTCACAGCCCCAGGGAAGTTTCCAGCTGCGAGTAAATTCCCCTCGATGTGGGCTCGCTGCCCATGCGATGTGCATGGCTGCACTGAGAGGTCTGAATAAAGCATGCGGAGACTGCAGACCCTACCCCACCCAGGTCTAAGACCTTGCACTTGGCCTTGTTGAACTTAACAAGGTTCCCATGGGCCCACTTCTTGAGCTTGTCCAGGTCCCTCTGGATGGCATCCCTGCTTGGTGTGATGACCCACCACAGGAGCCCCCCTGGGGCTGAGCGCTGTGCCCCTGCCCAGCAAGGAAACAACTAATTCCCAGGCTCCAAACCTCTTTTGTTGGAAGGTCTGGTGCTTCCATAGGAGCTATGCCTACAGTCAATAGAGGACTGCAGGACCGAGCTTTGCAGGCAGTGCAGCTTGATGGGTCCCTGGGGATCTCCCAAGGAGTGTCCAGCTTGGTTAAGGGACCAGTGCAGTGCTTGAAGCCCAGCCCTAGGCACCCCTCTGAGATGGGGAATTGTCCCAAGCCCAAGATGACACCAAGATCCCCTCCCAGGGTGCAGGGACCATGCTGGCCCGACCTGGCCACACTCTGCACCGTTCCCAACGCTGTCCCAACCACATCCTTTTTAGCATAATTATTCATTTCAGTAACATAATTAAGCTGTGTAGGCTTCTCTCCCAGTGTCCACTCCCCGTGCAGTGGAGCAAGCATGCTCAAGGATGGGGCAAGGAAGGAAAAAGTGGTATTTTCTGATGGACTTATAGCTGGAGAATAAAACAGCAGCCCCATTCTGGTACCTAAGTGCGTGCTTTCCTTGAGGTCTTGTAAATGTAACAGTGGGCCACACTCTCCCTGCTTAATCCACCTCCGCCCAGGCTGCAGGAGATATGCTACGGCTCTGGGGATGCTCAGGCGAGGAGCACAAACATCCTGCAGCAAAGCTGCACCCTGCCTGCCTGCCTGCAAGCGCTCGGCGTGGTCTGTGCTGGCTGGCCAGGATGTGCATGTTTGTTTGCTACAAGTTTGGAAAACAGAGGCATGTGGTGCCAGAGAAGGGATGTCCGCTGGGGATGCAGGGTGGAGCAGGATGAAATCTGAGCAAACACAGAGGTGGAAAAACCCCAGCATATGAAGGAAACTGTGTTTCACATGTGGTCCTGCTGCCTTTCTGAAGCTTAGAAATGGGGGAATCACAGGCACAAAAGGTTGCAAAGTTCCTTCCTGAGATCTAAATATTAGTTTTTACTCATTTTTCATTTTTGAAAACAAACACTGCTGGCCTGGAGCTCAAGCTAGCAATCCATTTTATTTACCCAGCCCTAGAACAAAGGGTTGCACTGTGGTGCTCCTGCCAGCCTCACAACCACTGCTGGAGCAACAGCTCCAGCAACAGCGAAGGCAAAACCCTGCTCTGGGTGTGGAAAACATGCCTGTGCCATCCAGTAGGATATGGAAAATGGATTAGAAGCACTTCGATTTTACACAGCCAAGTTACAGGCAGCCACGCAAGGAGCCTCTCCAGCACCAGGGGACATCCCCACACTGGAGCCGTCTGTGCGTGTTCCAGCACTGCGCTGGAGAAGCTTGCAGCAACCAGTGCTGGGTGCAGGAGGCCAGGGGCCAGAGCCGCCACTCCACTCCCTGCCTCCTCCCACTTGCAGAGAGGCAGTGGATGGAGCTGGGGGATGCACTCGTGTGCATCCCCTTGGGTTTCAGCAGATCAGATGTTATAACCTGAGAGTGAGATGTCCACTCTCAAAAGTGAATCACAGCATCCTGAGCACTGCCAGCAGCATCCTGCCCACCTGGTGCTGGGTGCATGTTGCTGATGTGCTCTGCCGAAGGGTGACCACTGCGGCCTGCTGACCAGGGCTCCTGTGAAAGCTGGGGGGTGTCAGCCAGCCCATGGGACATAAAAGCAGCAGCAACCATACTGTGCGGGCTCAGGACCATGGGGGAGCAGCACCCAGTGCTACTGTGGAGAAAAACCTTCCTCCTGCCTTCAGAAAATTGGAACTTTACGCATGTTTTTGGATGCTGGCCCCTGCTTGAGTCCAGCCTCAACCATCCCAGAGGTGCAGCCGCTGCTTGCAGTACTCATGTGTGAGGAGCTGAGCACCATGCTTATCCTGTAGGACTGGAAAAGATGGAAATTCCCAGGATAAGAAGAGTAAGCTTTAGCCATAGCTGCACAGGCTGCTTGCAGGATGCTGTAATCACACTGCTTCTCTTCACAGGCTGGAAAGAAACAGGCATTTGGAGGTGCTAAGATCAGATACTCAGAATTCACTCATTAGAAGAAAGGAGCTTGGCAGACTTCATTCCCTCTGAATCTCTTGATAGGAATCAGCAGTTTGTAACATTACCACAGTGTGCAAAATCTCCTTTCCCTTCTGCTGAGGGGAAAAGAAGCTGGAGATATAGGGAATAATTGTTCCTGCAGCAGCAGAAAGGGAGGGAAAAGGGTTAACACCATGAACGATATAATGTACACAAGCTGGCTAATTGCCATTTCCACGTGATGGCTGATGAGAAAGAAAAAATGTCTCAGATTTGACCTTGAATGCATTTTTCTCACCAAAAAAAAAAAAAAAAAAAAGAGAGATGCCACTGTAGGCACCTGCTCCTCTCCTGTAGCAGCAGGAGTGGAGCAGAGCCCTAGCAGGCTCAGCTCGTAGCTGCCTCTGCTGCCCTTTGGGGGACTTTGTTTCATATTGCACAGTTTCCTGAACATTCACTGAAGCAGAGCCTGAATACTGCTGTCCCACCTCTTGCATCCACCCCATCCCCAGCAGGCAGCAGCGTCGCACCACCCCGTTCCCTCCAATCCACACCTCCAAATGTGTCAACTGCAACCCATGCATAGCCAAAATCACAAGTAATTTTAAGGGGATGGAAGACCCAGATGTTGTTAAGCAGGTGTTGTCTTCTTTCTGCTCAGATTCATTTGCTCGTGTCCCCTTGCAGCCAGTACCAACCTCTGCATCTCCAGGTGACAGCTCAGGTGAGACCAAGGGCCTCAGCTCCCCCACACCCAAGGCTCCAGCAGACCTCGCTGGGCTCAATGGCTCTGACACTTCTGACATTTCTTTTTCCAGGGGCAGGAGACATTCAGTGCTTCAGCAGGGCGAGTTTGGGCAAACTGTTAGTGTATCTGGAGGCTACCAGAAATCAGGGTGTGGGTGAGAGCTTAGACATTTCCAGCTTTTGCTGGATGACTGCAGTCAGTGTAATGTAGGAAAGGAATCTCCTAACACCTTGCAGGAGCTCAGCCCCACGGCTGGTTTGAGTGCACTGGGAATAAGACAAAGAAAAAAGAAGACATGATCTGACTGGAACAAGCACGGGATGTGTTCCTCAGCTTGGCATTTGCAGCAAACTTGGACATCTCCGTTAAAAAAATAAAACTGGAATGCATAAGCGGAGACTATCCCTATTTCTAGCTGTGGCTCCTCCCCTGTGTATTTGGCCTCCCTGACAACTCAGTAATTCAAAGCACTTCTTTTTGAGCTATAAAAAGTGCCTGAGTGGTAATGCAATTTCTGGGAAGACAAATAAGAGGAGAGAACGCAAGAAGAGTGCAGGGCGAGCTTGTGGGGCTGGTGAGGAGCGAGTCATCCAGCTGAGGCCAAGAGCATCTTACCAGCAGATAAAGGAAGCCAGGAGCACCTTGTACCAGTGTGGGAGAAAACTGGAGCTATCTCCTAAAGGGGTTAATGCTGACCCTGACACCAGATCCACACTTCCAGCTGAGCCGTATGAACCATGAAAGCTCTGGGTAACAGAGTGAGGCCACAGAATTCAGCAAGCCCTGAAGTGCGTACCTCTGCCCTCTCCAGAGAAGTGTTTACCTCCACAAAAGCAGTCAGGCCTTGCTGACTGTAGGAACATTTCATTCCCGTTTGTGAAGTAAACAAAGCATTCCTTGCTGGGAAAACACAGGATCTCCACCAGGTTACGAACTGGGAACAATGCCACCAGAAGAGATTTTCCCAGGCCACGCAGAAGTCAAGAACTTCCTCTGCCTCCACCTCAGTGCTGCCGTAAAACCTCAAAACCCTTTACTCATCACTCAGAGGTGGAACATGACTGTTGTTGGAAGCAATTCTGAAGGTTGTACTGCTGAAGTGAGCGGCCCATGAGCAGTGGCCTAGTGACGGTGTGCTCGGTGTGCTGGTGACCACAGCTGTGGTGCTGAGGGACCCGTGGGGGTGAGCATGGCCGCTGCCCAGCCCTCTCGGCTATATGAGCGCTATCAGTGCCCAAGCAGGGCGTGATTTGCTGTTCAATTCTGCGGATCACAGAGGGTGTGCAGAGCCCCAGCCTGAATCAGTGGGGAGCCTTGTGGGCAGCAGGCCAGAAACCCAAGGGATGCATCTGGCTTGTACAGAAGGTGCAAAAGGCTCTTTGTGACTCCTTCCTATGGCCACTGCCCTGAGCGGCACTCGCCCCAAATGCACCAAGTGCCTTCTGCACCCAGAGGTCAGAGCCAAGTAGAGCTGCCAGCCCCAGACATGTCTCCAAGGACAGGCAGTGCGCAGGGTGGCAGTGGGGGCCCAGCCTCAGCGCTGGTGCTGCAGGGTTCAGAGGGCACTTGGGCACTGAAGCATGTCCCCACGGAAGTGTGGTCACGGCTGTCGGTGTTCAACAAGCGACTGGACCATGCTCCTAGATATGTGGTTTAACTTTCAGGTTGCCCTGCGTGCAGCCAGGTGTTGGACTTGATCTTCAGGGATCTCTTCCAACTCAGGATATTCCATGGGCTGTCTAGTGGAAGAGGGACAATTCCTGGCTTCCTGCAGCAGTGTGCCCCTGTGTTGTGCCATGAGCACCTTGCAACACTATTTGCGCTTATGAAACCCTGTATTCTTGCTCGCTTCCACATAAAAATAATGTCTGGAAAACACTGTTTTCCAGCCAGCATCTGCTAATTAAAATAAAAAGCAATGCCATACACTCTCTAGAGAGCCCTGGGCTGCCTGCATAGAATAAAAGAGACAAATGTTAACAATAAATAGCAAGTCTCCAGCCTGGCCCTGATGAGAAAAGCCTCTTCTCCCAATGAGTCCCTTTGTTTACTGCAACTTGCCTCTTCTCTGCATGGTAAATATTTAATGTGCCATCTTCAGCAGCCCAGCTGCTGGAAGAATAGCGCTGTTGGGGGTGCAGGGGTCTGTGCCTGTACAGGAGGAGCTGGGTCACTTGGCAAAGCAAGAGCTAGGGGATAAAAACTGCAGGACCTCAACTCAAGGAACAGACTCCCCCAGGCCCATGGCATCTGGTGCTGTGGGACCGATAACCACACAAGTCTGGTCCATCTGGGAAGAGCACAGAGCAATGCTGTTAAATTGGGATTAACTGTAATTACATAAAGCTGGGTACCAGTCATACTATGCCAAAGGCAGCAAAATTATGAAAGTCCTGGAATAAAGTAATCACAGCTTTGGTAATCTGTTTTGTTAGTTTGGTAACAGCAAAGAAATAGTCTTCTCACTGCAAGACTAAGGATGGAAGACCTGGGCAACTCGAGTCAACCTGGCAGCCTGAGTTTCATGACCAAGCTACGAAAAAAGGCTGGTAACCTCACTATGAGCTGCCTAAAGCTTACTGAGTGCTGGAGCTACATGATTTCACAGTAGCTGCTGAGAAAAAAAAGAGTGTTTTTGTAGTTACCATGCTGATGCTTTTCGCTTTGATGGGAACAGAGAATGCAATGATGTCTGCCTGTCCCAGCACCAAAGCAGCATGCCTGGCTCAAGGCACAGCAGGAAAGGGTTCAGCAAGCATGTACTGAGCCCCACGGATGGCACAGACACAGCTGATGGACATACTCACCTTGAAGCCCATGGTGGGGGCAGGGAACATCTGGGATCTCCCCTCTGCTGGCCTGAAGGTGATGCCAGAAGCCGTGAGCTGGGTGTGCAGCCTGGCATGAGGCTCAGCCCGGCCTGATGGTACAGCCATGGCCACGTGCTGCAGCCTTCGTGCTGCAGAAGTTACACAAGGAAGCTGCGCATGCTAGTAAGTAAAATATTAGATGCCCGCATGCAGCTTTGAGCCAGTAACTTCACCTTCTGCATGCAGACCAGGGGTAATTTACCTCCCACCCTGATTAGCTGGGAACAGCAAACAATGTACAATGCATCCAGCAGCAGCTGGGGACTCGCACATCCGGACTAAAATACCGGCTGTGCTGCTCATTGCATGTCCCCTTTGAACAGTCTGTCCCCAGGAAGATTTCCTCTTTGGTGAGTTCAGAATAAATCAGGTGAGCCTGTGGCAGTGATAAGGACCAGAATCCAGCCTTTTTTCTACTTCTCCCACTGCTGCATTGCTCTCGTTGCCATCTTGGCAGCAGCAGGATCCTGACTGCTTGGTTGAATTCTCTGCACCCAGTAAATGCTGGGTACTTAGGCATGGCCCTGCACACCTGCAGGCTGCTGGCAAAGCACCTGCCAGCAGAGCCTGGGGCATCTGGGGCTGTGCTCACCTCTCCTCCAAATGTTGCTCACTGTATGCTGGTATCTGTAATTATCGACACTCTAAAATAAATAAATAAATAATATAAAAATATATATTTTAAGGTAAACTGTCGGATTTGCATAAGAATAAGCTTGCAAAGATGCATCAACATCTGGCTTAAGCCCTATTCTTGCTTTCTCCGAATATCAGATCCAGACAGGTTCTGGCTCAAACACATTTGTGTTTCAGAAGCCAGAGTCTCTGGAGCCTCGGCCTCGTGCAAAGGCTGGTGCTGGTTTTAGCACGCAGTTTTCTTCCTCTTTGAAGCATTTGAAGCCAGATGATTACAAATATAAGAACTCAAACTATTTTGTCCTGGATACCTTTTAAAACGTTTCTTTCCAGCTGCCAACCAGGCAGAGAAGACAATGAGCTGCAAAACTGTGGATGAGCGATGAACATGGCAAGACAAGAGCAGCAGCTTCAGCCCTGTGCCCATGCTCTGCCCTGAGGTGTTTCCCCAAGCACCTGCAGCCCTGAGCAGCAGGAACCCAGTCCTGTGCCACAGACCTGGCACCTCCTCGTGCCTGGCACCCGCAGCCTCACCGTTACCCACTGTCCCCATCCTCCCCTTGGTTTTCTGGGCTCAGGGTTGCTGCCACTGCCAGCCAAGGGGACAGCAGGTGCTGAGCTGGGGATCAGGCTTGTCATGGCTGTGATGTCCCCCAGCCCCGTCCTCCTGTGTAGCCCTCGGTGCGTTCTGGGGCAAGGCCCCATGCTAGTTGCCAGCTGGTCCATAAATGTCACATTCCCACCTGAAGCAACCTGGCAGCAGGTGTCCCCACCTTCTATGCCACACGTATTTATTGTCCTGGAGCTCAGCCACTTTTTGAGTCCAGGATCACAGAAAAACCTCAGTTATTTCTCCCCCTGCCCCTCCCCCAACCCCCCTTTTTTTTTGTTTAAATCCCAGCTTTCATTAAAGAGAAAGACAGACCTCATACAGCTAATCTGGTAAAAGACAAGCTATTTTCTTTCACACAGATGAAGCTGTGGGGATGGAAATAAGTTTCTAAGTGAGATTGAAAAGAGCCGAGATGACTCATTTCTTTGCTGCTGAAACTGTATTCACTCCCAAGCACCTCTAATTCCTATTAAAATAAAATACACCAAGAGCATTGGGGAACACTTGGGACAAAGCACAAGAGCTCGTTTTTTCCTGGAGATGAAAGAGCAGAGAATTAATCCCCTGTATCACCAACTCCCCCAGGATGGGCTCAGCTGGCTTCATCCCTCACTCTCCACAGACAGAAGCTATTTTTTCCTGTTCTTGCCAGTGTCAATATGTTTCTTTAAATATCTGTTCAGAGAGGCTATATATATAGGAACACTCTGGTGCTTTTGAAAGGAGCCTCATTTCCTGTGCAAGAACTTAAGTTCTTGGCAAAACTGCCGGCGGCTGCAGCATCTGAACCACAAAAATTGTTTTCTAAAAGTGAAGATGTCAGAAGCAAAATGGCATTTCCTCTGCGATGGCAAGCTGCACTGAGCCACGTCCCGGTCACCGTGGGTGGGGAAGGGACACAGTGTTCCCCCCACAGTGGCACGGCCAAAAGCGGGGATGCTGCAGGAACTGCCTCCCACCTGCACTGAGCCACGAGCCTCCGGCAGCTCCCATGCCAGCAGGATGAAATAACCCCACTACCCTCGTCCCAAAACGAAACTGGCCCTTGCAGCCTGCAGTGCTGTGTTTTGGGCTTTTCAGCAGCAGAAGGGTGGAAGCCACTGCAAAATAACGAGCTGGTTTTGGTGCTGATTTGGGACAGTGGGGTGGCGTCATGCTGCAGAAGGCAACAGCAGTGGTGCTTGTACCCGCAGGAACCAGCACCAGGGCAGAGCTTTCAGGATGGAACCGAAGCTCTTGGGTCATGCAAAGGAGGAATATGAGGATCCACAAGCAGGCAATTGCCTGAACCCACAGAGACCCCAGGGACCATGAGCTGACAGTTTTTCACCCCTCTGCACCATGCCAGTTACCTTGGAGGGTACAAGCAGCAGTGAAGAGGAGCTCAATGATCACCTGCAACTGCACATATGACTTCCCAGGGGAATTTCTTAGTTGTAAATTGCTATTTTTGGTGGTCCTGCACCAACATGTGGTTCTAAGGACCCAGCTATAGCTGCAAACAAGGAAGAGAAGGTGGATGCAGTGGGCAATCAACAATCCATGTTTCTCTTTGCTACTGGGTGCCCTGCTTAGAAAAAGAAAAACTTGCAGAGCAGATGAAGTGCAAGCTTTTTAGATTTCCTGGAAGAGTTTTAAACAAGAAGTGTCTTCTTCCAGCACTTGGCCACTATCAGGACAAACCACAGTGGACGAATGCCCAAGGACACCTGATGGGTAGTGGATGCAGCACACAGCTATGACACATCTCCTGACACAAACCTCAGGGGACCTGTCTCTGGGGATGAACACAAAACTTCTGCATCTCTGCTCATGCCTTAAGGAGCAATGGAAACCACCAGCCCTGTCCCCAACCTGGCTGTAAGCCAGAGGGAGAGCTTTATAACAGGACAGGAACATCATCAAAGCCCAGCAAGCCGCTTCTCACTGTTGCTCTGGGCACTTACGCCCACAAAGGAATCTTCCCCCATTACTCCTTTCCGAGCACATTTGCTCCTCTCCAGCATTTGGTTTCCCAAAAGCGGAAAGGGACTTGTGCAGGACCCTAAAAGGCAGTGAGCCAGAATTGTTCTGGATGAGGAAGGAAACTTTCCCATACATTCAGGTTTCTGGATGCTGATCGTCCCTACCAGCAGTGCCAGGGATGCTCCTGGAGCTCAGAGCACTGCCAGCATGGAGGGGCTCCCGGGTCCCCCTGCTGTCATCAGAAGACCCCACAGGCAAGCTGTGAAGCTACAGTGGACAACAGCAGTGCACCAGCCAGCATATGGCACAGCACAGGTGACAGCACTGTGCTGGCATCTCAGCGGCCATCCTTTGGAGGGGATTGGGGCAGAGGTGGCTCGGCACATCTACACAAAGCCAATGGCTCTGGGAAGTGCCAAGGTAGATGGTGCGCAGCAGCAGCACCAGGAGGTTTTTGTGTCCTGCCGTGATACTCTGCACTTAGTGTCATGCGTGCATCCTCCCTACCTCACAGAAATCCTTCATCCTTCTGACACCATTTCTGCTCTCCAGATCTTGTCTCATCTAAGTGCTGAACATTTTGTCTCCGCCGAACCAGCACATTGTGTCCACACAGAGTGAGCCAGCCCCATCAAGGCACAGAAACGTCCACAGGGGACAGGTGCAGGGAGAAGTGAAAGGAAGCCCAAGCAGGGAAGGGCACCCACCTAAGCGAGCAGGTCTTAGCTTCAAAAGCTCAGTACAGAAAGAAGAATTTGCAGAGGATGCAAACTTCACAGTAGGCTAGCAGCCACGTGAAATAAAAGCATCTATCTCAACATATGGTAGAATTTTCACTTTTGGTGGTTTTTCTCCTTGCTCAGACAGCTTTGCTCTGTCCGAAGATTTATTCTACTGAGGTTGAAGCAGTGAGCAGCACTGAATCCCAGCAAGGGAAACACTGACAAAAGGGAGAAAGCTGTTGCAACAGCCATGGCAGCAGTGCACCCCATATGGCCATGCACTGGCAGGACAGCACAAGTGCAGGATCTGGCATCCCTGTTACTCAGCTTTCCATTAAAATAACCAGCAATGACAGCAAAAGAAAAGGGGAGCAGTCAGGCAGGTGCCAAAGCCAGGGAGCCATATCTCTGGGGCTCGTGGAGCAGCTACCACCCAGCAGGGAGCCAGCCAGGGCCAGCACATGGCAGCAGCGTATCAGAGACATCACGTTTTGCTGTGCCCTCATGTTTTCCACATTTGCATCACTAGCAAAACGAAGACACAAGCACACATGAAGAAAAGAGACCACCAGGAAAGTTATTTTGACATATCCCTAAGCCAATGGACATCAACAGGGCAGACCATTGTGCAATGTGATGACAACCACAAGAGCATCCCACCATGAGAGCTTCATATGGCGCTCTTTTTACCAACCTGACTCTTCGACCACAGAAAACGGGTGCTACCAAACCCAATTAGGTGTCATCCAGGCTCACTGGAAGCCTATTTTGACATGCCTTCTATCTGTAGGGGCTCTTTTAGCCCAAGATATTGCTACTGCTGCTATGGGACCTGCAGGTTTTGGAGGCAAGGATGGAATGAGCCTGTGTGCATGTGGAAACCTGGTAAAATCTTCATTTTGAAAGCCATTTGAAAAAATGTATGAACCTTTGTAAAGAAAAGTCACTTTCAAAAAAAAAACAAACACCAAAACCCAAAAAACAAAACCCAAAAAACAAAACCCAAAAAGCCACCCAGCATGAGGTTTCTATAATAAAACCTCAAAAAGAAGAAGTTTGACAAACACTGTGGATGACCAATGTGTGGAAGATCTGAGCAGTGCCTGTGAAGTTCCCTATACTAGAGAGAAAGCAAGAATTACGGAAAAAGTAGAAAGGAGTAAGCCAGGAAATTGCAGAGCAGAACACTCACAAGAACCAACAGCCACACAGGGAACGAGCCAGCCCTTCGAAGAGCACCTCCGAGAAACACATGCCGTGTTGTTTCTCATCAGGAGCCTTCCTCTGCGTAGTGCCACATCCCACGTTAAACCCTTACAGCTGCATAAGAAACAGTGTGGCCAGCAGGTCTAGGGAAGTGATTGTCCCCCTGGAGAGGCCGCACCTCGAGTATTGTGTTCAGTTTTGGGCCCCTTGCTACAAGGACATCGAGGTGCTTGAGCGGGTCCAAAGAAGGGTGACGAAGCTGGTGAGGGGCCTGGAGAGCACGTCCTATGAGGAGCGGCTGAAGGAGCTGGGCTTGTTCAGCCTAGAGAAGAGGAGGCTCAGGGGTGACCTTATTGCTCTGTATAAGTACATTAAAGGAGGCTGTAGAGAGGTGGGGGTTGGCCTGTTCTCCCACGTGCCTGGTGACAGGACGAGGGGGAATGGGCTAAAGTTACGCCAGGGGAGTTTTAGGTTAGATGTTAGGAAGAATTTCTTTACTGAAAGGGTTGTTAGGCACTGGAACGGGATGCCCAGA